ACACGTATTTATACATATTTCACATACATTATTATAGCTTATGCAAGTAGACAAGCGCAGTCATCTGATTGGTTGTTTATCAGAAGTTAGGCAGACAAACGCAGGCTTCTGATTGGTTGTTTCGGGATTCCTCGACAAATAGAGTTCTCTATCTGAGAATCATATTTTGCCACGTTAACTTTGCTGTGATTGGTTGTTGAATCAGCCTTGCTCATATTTTCTCACGGCCTGCTCTCACCACAAAAGCAGTTCCAACAGCAGGCTGTAGACTTTTATTAATAGCTGCCTTCATCCCATACTGAAGATTATATTGCCAGCCAGAAAGAATTAGCAGCAAAGAAATGTGTCAACGAACCAACCAAGAACCTACTACCCATCAAATATGCAGATTTTGATGGAGATGGATTTGACATACTCTGAAGAGACCATTGAATAACATCGCGTAACTTAAGTGGAATCCAAATGACAAAAGATGAGTTGGGTGTGGGTTTGAAGGTGACATGAAGCATATCATATGGAGGGTAAACGAAAGCTTATAGGTAATCGTGGGGTCAGCTTGAAACAGACTTCAGAGAACATAGTGAAATGGCAATATGCTTCTGAAAATCTGTGTTCTACGTGAAACCCAATGGAGTCATAACAATAATGATTCCTAGTTCAACTGTTTTTCAGCTACTTATATGTTTAAGTTCAAATCTATTAAAATTGTTAAAATGTAGTACCATAGGAGTTTCGATTATTATTATTATTATTATTTCGTTGGGTTTCGAGTGTAACATAGAGCTTCAGTAGCAATTCTACACATTACTCTCATCTCTGCAGTCTTTTTAGCTTGTTTCACAATTGCCTACAAGGTTTTACTTCCTCTTCACACGAGATCCTCCATTCCATTTTCAGACGCCCAAACTCGTTGTTCCTTGTTTGGGTTCCACTTGATGGTCGGGCAAAACGCAGTTTTACTTCGTTCTTTATTGCTGATACCTGGCTGATAGCTGCTACCTTAAAATGGCGGCCAGGCTCGCATAGCAAGACTACCCAATGAGTTATACTGGCTGAAACTAATATTCTCACAGGTTCGACCATGCCAGAAACACCATATGGATAGCAAATACACTAAAATCAGCTACCGCTATTTCACAAGTCACACTACTTCGGCGGCCTGGGAGTGAAATAGTCCCATTGACGAGTAGAAATGTGACTGCGGTAAGGTATTTCCTTCGTATGATTATCAAGCCATCTATGATGCATTTCCGTTCTGAGAGAGTCAGTACCAAAAACTGTGCATCCAGACTTACCACGCAGCAATAAGTAGTCGGTAGCAAGAGCTTCATACAGGGACAGCTTCAAGATGGCGGTGTGTGACTGTCCTCGGGACTATGCAGTCACGCAACATTAATGCTTTTTCTGTTCCAGGCATTCCAAGATGGAATCAACTTCCACGGTGTATGTTATTGTTATTATTCCCTTGGGTTCCGAGTGGAACATGCGGCTTTAACATCACAACTCCTTTTTAGCTGGCCCCACGACTGTTCATAAGCTTTGATCTCCACACACGATCTTCTCCATTTAGTCTTCGTTTTCCGATCGAGGGCCTGGAACCTCGGTGGTCTTCTAAGAGTGTGTACGGTGCAAGTAGATGGGAATTAATAATCATCCACACATTTCCATAGGCACATAAAACCTTCCTAATTATCGTCGATCTTACTTCTGGCTGATCTAAACTACAATATTTTGGTTGATGAAATAGAAGTCAATGGTTTAAAAACCAAACTGATTCAATAAGTTTAAGAAAAGAGTAAAATTCAGCTTGAAGAAATTTGGTGAACGGTTACTATCATTGGAATCTAGAATGTGCATTTAGTTCTATTTGTGACTCGTCAGCTGGATGTGCTTGCATTTCCCAATGAGTGGCGATGTTTCAAATGAGACTCGAACGCAGTACCCATCGTTTCAGACGCCAAACTGCTATCCACTAGAGCCACCTCTTTTATAACGGGTACCATCTGTAGAGTCACAAATAGGACTAAGTGCTCATCCTGGCTCCAATGCTAGTCACTGGCCAACAAATTACATCTCATGCTAATCCTCAGACATCATCGAAGCGTCCGCACTAGGAACCGGTAGGCCAACAGAAGCCAAACATTTCGGTTCAATCAATCAATGGAAAAATCGAAATTGAAGTAGAAACAAATTTCAACTTGAAGAGGTTTATGTCTGATTAGAATGTTAGTAAACTATTTAGATCGTGATTATTTTTTTTCCTTTAAATGAATAATATTCACACATATATCATTAGGGCATTATCAACGTGTTAATAAGTATCTTAGGGGTGGCCGAAGTTTACTCACTAACTATGCGATAAGTGATAATATATTTTCAGCATAGAAAATAAAATAGAAGTGATAAGTGATACTGGAGCTTTTGAAATAGTTTTGGGTTGGCAAATAGTTATTGATGTTACATACAAGTGGTGATTAAGGCTGAAATAAAAATATGGATTGCTATAAGATTCGAGATAAACACTAACCACGGTGATTTCAGTGAAATGACAACCTGGTTGGCAGTCGGGTCTCGTAGTTCAGCCGGTACAATGTCTGAATAGTAAATTAGATGTCGCTGGTTCGAATGTTTGCATTACCTAGATGTTTAGCTCACCCCTGACCATCACCTGTCACATCGATTTCAATCATAAACAACCTGCTATGGTCAAGGGTCAGTGGACTTCAGTTTTCCTTTAGAAATCTTCTGTCAAGTTCTGTCACTCCCTACACGCAGTGGGAGTAATTCTCACAGAAGTCTGGAGTTTACAACTGAATTGCACAGAAAGACGGTCTATTTTGATGCGGTTGTGTTCTCTGAGCTGGATGGTTAATTTGCGAAGCTTTCATCACCCTACTGGGTGATATCTTCAGCGCATACTTCAATTTGAAGTGATCTTTAGATTTCTCCACGAGTTTATTAATCATCTCTCCTGGTGACCTTGGACGTGATTGGCTGTTGTGTGTGTTTTCACACCTTCTAGGCTACTTGTATCGGAACTGATTGTTTCTTTGACTTGAACTGTGACGCTTTGTGTGTGAAATTTCTTTCTTATCGGTTGACAAATTTTGTGTTTCTCGATGTGTCTATTGATTGATGATTCACTGGAATGCCAAGCTTCTAAAAATTCCTAGCATTCTTGTTTTCCTTTGTCTAATATTTGAACGTTGTCCCAGTCGAATTGATGTCCGTGGTTGTCTGTGTGTAGTGAAATGAGGGAGTGGATATCATGTCTTTTGACGGCTAGCTTATATTCGTGGATACGAAGAGGACGAAGAGGATATCTACGGAATTTCATCAAAAGACGTATACCCCCAAGCCAACCTATCAAAGCAAAAGCCACCAAAGAAAGCACAAAGAAAATCGCCTTACCATACATAAAGGATATCTCAGAAATCACTACAAGACTCTTCAAACCTTTAGGAATTGATGTCGTATACAAACCAACAAATTCGCTTCACTCAATTCCATGTCAACCAAAAGACTCAACAGCGAAAGAAGATAAAACCAACATCATCTACAAAATAAATTGTAACAACTGCGAAAAACACTACATTGGCCAAAGTGGACGTCCCCTTCGTTTCGTATCCACGAACATAAGCTAGCCGTCAAAAGACATGATATCCACTCCCTCATTTCACTACACACAGACAACCACGGACATCAATTCGACTGGGACAACGTTCAAATATTAGACAAAGGAAATAACAAGAATGTTAGGAATTTTTAGAAGCTTGGCATTCCAGTGAATCATCAATCAATAGACACATCGAGAAACACAAAATTTGTCAACCGATAAGAAAGAAATTTCACACACAAAGCGTCACAGTTCAAGTCAAAGAAACAATCAGTTCCGATACAAGTAGCCTAGAAGGTGTGAAAACACACACAAAACAGCCAATCACGTCCAAGGTCACCAGGAGAGATGATTAATAAACTCGTGGAGAAATCTATAAGATCACTTCAAATTGAAGTATGCGCTGAAGATATCACCCAGTAGGGTGATGAAAGCTTCGCAAATTAACCATCCAGCTCAGAGAACACAACATCAAAATCATCCACCTGAGCTACAAATCTTCTCTATCATATCTAAGACGGTCTACTTAGGAGAGCTGGAAAACCCTGATTTCAAACTTATAGTATACATAGGCTGCGCAATCTGAATGAAACGAATAGCGTATGAACTTGTTTTGGTCATCGGAAACTATTGAAATAAAGCTCCTGACGCTTCTCCACTGTTGTGTGAGTCAAACTTCAAGCCAAAAGCTCCTCTGGGTGAGTGACACCGTAAGACAACCACTTTCTCTGGTCTAGGTGTCTGCTTAGTATCCCAGACCTCGCACAAACCATATGATTTTGTGTGGCACATCTTTTGGTTCTTATAATGTATCAGGTTTGTGTTTTAATAAATAATTACACTAATGACAGTACCCTCTGATTATAATTCAGTATAATTAGAAGTGATAGGAGAAGACTTAACCGAGAAAACAGTGCAATGTTAGATAAACAGTAGCGCATCACTGCTTCACACTACTGTCGAGTGTTGCCCATGGAAGTATTAATTGTAGTAATCAAAATGTATTAAAAACCGAAGTAATCTCATAATTTATTTCCAAATACTGCCATAGTTGATGGCGCAGAACTTATTGGTTAGTTCTTTCTAAGATTAAAGTTTAAACATGTCGATTCTTATATTAGTTAACTTTTAAAAGCTTATAGAAATCCATCATCACCAGAACGATTTTGTCAATGTCTAATCTTGTCGTACATTTAAAATAATCATATATTCTGTATGATCAGTGATGATCGATTAAAATAAATGACTGAATATTTTATAGTGTATACAATGAAAAATTGTATAGTTCAACTCATTTCTTCTAACACAAATTCATTTCTTATGAAATAAAGTCTTTATTAAAATCAAAATAACACTATAATTTTTTTATTCGTTATTGTCTTACTTGGGATGAAAGTGGTGTTGACTGATAGCCAGGAATAATTTTTAAAGTGACGTTGCCTGATGCATTTTTTAATACTTTTTGTAATACTTCAGGATTATCAACTGCTACACCATTTACTTCACGAATAACATCACCTTCATGGAGTAGATCAAGTTGTTCAACATGAGATGCTGCTAAAATACGCTTGATGACTAGTTCTTTTACTAAACCATAATGTGCAGACATATATTGTTGTTGAACTACTGTAATACCCTGAAATATACAGACAAATAACAAAAAAACGTTTAGGCTAATATGGTCTTTTGAAAAAGTAATCTAAATGTTGACGTTATAAATTAAACAGAAATATGTTTCATAAGAAAGAAATGAGTCAAACAGGAGCTGCGTAAGCTTATAAGACTGGCATCCATAGATAGAAGAATAGAATTTCGGCACTGTGGTAGAAGAGTATAATCCCATCATAAAGTTTATTTATCTGCTAAAAGCACACAGTATTACTTACTGACGTTTTTGAACACAATTTATTGCTCACAGTCGTGGAATCAATCTCTGTTAAGTTATCGGAGAAGGTAAGAATACATGTGGATTCGTCATTTGAGGTTTAACTTACAAATATTCAGCCAGTCTGCTTTCATGTGTTGGTTTGCAAGATTTGATTGGTTACAGGCTGAGTCACGAGCTGACAGCAGTCACAGAACCATTGGAAGACCAGGGAGTGCAGGACAGTTGTTACTTCCTCCCTTATTGGGACTCTTCAGTCGTATGCACCCACTGGGGTTCGAATCTGGGATTTTTCCATTATAACGTGAGCTTGTAGACAATTCAACCACTGAGAGCCAATCTAATCGACCATGAATTCCAACTTCCATCAACTCGCGATACATAGCTCAACTGCCAGCAAATATCATGGGCGAGCAACTGTTCACTTATGTGATATGGTGGGCCTCTGACTGGCTTGTCTCAACACAGAAATTTTCACAGGTGTGCAGCAGTTCGAGTTGTCACATTCCTTTCATGTAGCACACAAAGCAAGAGAAGAGAGTAGAAAGAAATCCAAAAGAGAGGCAAAAAGAATAGTAATATGGAAGAACAATAGAATTTTATTGGATATCATAAATCACAAAGATTAAACGCATCTGCTCCAGACATTGGTTTTTACCATCCCGACGACCCCAACCAGGAAGTCTACATCTTCATACGTGGCGTAAAATAACTGTTGTGGATCTCATTGACTGATGCCATGCTTTGGTTTGACCATCATTGGCTCTTTTCCAAACTAATCCTATGTCAGTCAACGTTGCCCGTCTGTCGAGGAAGGCGATGACTAGGCATACGTAACACATTTCCTAGCCACTTCAATACATATAACTTCACATGCTTGTCTATTGAATTCCTCTCCTCACGTAGCAGTCGATTGACGCATAATCCCAGCATTGCTCACCCTATCATACCACAACCTGACACGGGAGATAGAACGCAGATACCTATGATTGAGGATAGGTAACAAGCTTTTCATGTCTTCTACTTTCAATGTCCACGCCTCACTTACAGTCATAAAGGAGGACAGAGTGAACTACTGAGCAATTCACATGCCCTTTGGTCGATAGCCAGATATTACGTCCACTAAGCCAGAGATGGCGTAAGTTTGTATATGCCAAACAAGCCCTCTGTATCTGTGCTGAGACTTCATCAGCTATCAACCCTCTGGTACCGGCTGATCCAACTCCACAAATACTTGAAGTGGTCAGCACGCCCCACCGCTTCATTTCCAATTTCTAAGCAAGGAGTCAATGTAGTCCAGTCCTGTAGCATAATCTTACATTTGACAGAAGCGAACCGCATGCCAAACATTCGAAGATTGCTGCTCAAGGGGTTCAGAAGACTATGCATTTTGTCAGCGTCTTCACCTAGAAGGACTATACCACCTGCATATTCTAAGTCAATGAGGCTATTATTCCCTGGTAACAAGTCAATCCCTGAGTCACTGAAGTCAGCAGTTAGGGGTTAAGTCCATTAGTAGATCTATGATGATTTATTATAGTGGGCCCTCTGGTTACAACTTCTCATCAGAACTCCAGGTAATTTCCTGTAAAGAGGTAGCCGCTAGTGAACCTTGGAAGACATCACTTGATAATCAATCTGATGCTACATAACAAGTACCTCTTTACAGGAAGTTACCTGGAGTTCTGATGAGAAATCGTAACTAGCAGGGTCCTCCTTGTCAGGCAAAAGAACTGATACGAGCCTATGACCCGTAAATTAAATTTCAGCTGTATCTCAAAAAATCTTCATATGAACTTTTAGCTCAAGAAACTTTTAACTTAAATATTAATTTATATAAAAACCAAAAGTAAGTGGTGAGAAATATCGCTCATTTTTTATTTAGAAATAAAAGGAATCCCTAATATTTGATAAATGAGGCAGTAACTGAAGTATTATTTCCAAGAGTCGGTTTGTAAGGATTAGATTTGTTTTTACGAGTTTGACCATGGATTGATATCAGTAAGAGAACCATTGAAAGCCAGGGAGTACTGGACAGCTGTTTCATCCTAGTATACCATTCAGACACTGGGACCCAAATCGATGGCCCATGTGGTCGTGCTAAATCACGAATTGGTAAAAGTTAGAATTTATGGGCTGGCTACTGAATCGGGTCCCAGTGGCTAAATGGTATACGGGCTTGCCTTGTAACCGGTCCTGGATTCGAACCCCCGTGGGTGCGCACTGATGATGACTCCCAGACTAGGATGAAACAGCTTTCCGGTACTCCCTGGTTTCGATGGTTCTCTAAATGCTATCAATCCATGGCCAAATTCGTAAAAATCATTTGTCTCAAAAATCTAATCATACCAACTTCCCGATATATTCAATTTTCGGGGAATGCAAAAGTTTTTCTCTGTTTCAAGCAATGTAAGACATAAACGCCAGTCACACTAGTGACTATGTATAACTGTTATGCAAACAATTATTAATACTCAAACTGTAACTCACCAAATCTTCTCCGTAATTCTTTTGAATTCCAACCATTTTAACTGCACCTTCAACAGGTGGCAGTGCCGGTCCCTCGCCACCTCCAGTAAGTGTAGCTTCATTTTTTCTCAAATCAATATAACCTTTATCACTACCGATACCATAAATAACAGATCTTGAAGCATAAGGATCATTTATAATTCCATTACGATCATCTTTAACAGTTATATCTCCATAACTTTTAGTAGGTACATGCATATTAGATATTTTACTAGCCATTAAACTTCCCAAGGTTGTATAAGTACCACCTAAACCTGACATATTGAAGGCGATCTCAGGTAACTCAGGCATATCAAAGTGTTTCGTTGCTACTTCAGTATAAGCATAAGCGAAACCACGCCACATAGGAGAAGTAAGTATCTCTACTAATTCATTTGCCTCTACATCTAACGAATCGATAGCCAATGGACCATCATGTAATGATATTAATAGTTCATCGATGACACCGACTAAATTTGTCTCTTCATCTGGTATTTGTTCATATGGATATGAAATCAGATCGAATATCTATTTTTCAAGAATAAAAAGGGTAATAAAACAAAAATGTCAGATATTTTAAGTTATAATGATATATATATATATATATATATATATATATATATATATATATATATATATATATATATATATATATATATATATAAGAATCAACATTTTTAGTCAACGGCTACAGAGACAGAGGTGTATATTCCTCAAATTTGGATATAGTTTATTCTGTGAACGTGAAATGACCTCACTGGACAACTTGTTTAGCCTTGGGCTAATCATCAACCGATCAGAACGATTTATTCCCCTCTGCCCTAGCCGAACTTTAATGTGGCTAATAATGTATAAATATGTTTTTCTTCAATAAAAATCCATTACCAAGTCTCTTATCATCTCCCGTTACAAAAATAATACACAATAGTACCATCTCATATAGCTCTCAGAGTCCACACCGTTCAGTTGATCAATAAACTTTAGTAGTCGTTTAATAGTATACAATTACATTACGTATAGTCTAGCCACTACTCCATGTAATACCAGATAACAAATTTATTGACTTAAAACTGATTCACAAGTGAATCCAGGAGTACAGCCTACTAGCTACGGTAACTTATCCGACAGCATTGAATCGTGCTACATTTTTTTAAAGGTAATGGATTATAATTATTAATTACCTTATCCAGAATTCAACTTGAAAACATTTGAACCACGCTAAAGAATCTTAATAACGTAGTTTATTTAATGCAACATCCAAAGATTCTGTCACTAAGGCATCCCAGCTTTCATATGTGCGTCGGTGATTCAATGGTAAAGTACTTTCCAGCCATGCAGGTCACCCGGCTTGGATTCCCGGTCAACGTACTCCTAAACTATGGCTACTTTATTAACCGGTAGTAAGTGCAAAAAGGAGGAAAGGTTGGCAGTGATTTTAGCAAACTCATTCCATAAAGACAACACCACCGCCACTTAGACTTCAAAGTCTTGAAGGCCAATATTCTACTCGGAAATCAAGCAGTGAAAAAGCTTTCACATATTAATATCACTAGCATCATAACAATCGAATTTATTCAGTTCTACCAACTCTAAATTGATTTGACCCTCAAACACTTACTTTAGAAAGGCTGTAATAAATAACAAAGGAATCGAGCTGATAGCTTCATCTTACGGACTGAAATAAAGCTTAATTGTCCCCGTGATTCAAAAAGACAGAACTACTTAAGGAGTGACTCCAACTGCAAAAAATTAGTAAAAACGGAGAAGCAATAAACAGTTGTCTTGAGTTAGTTAAAAACTTGTCAGCAGTCTCCATCCCAAATGTCATGCGAAATTGACATCAGATCTCTCAGGTTTTGCAGAAAAGATTAGTACTGTCTGATCATGAAATCAAAATCCGATGTAATAACTTTAATTTCGTGGGATCGGAGTGTTGTTAGCTTATTATGCTCCCCTTTGAATTTTAGTGGCTCTGGAATCTCTTTTGTTTTATGTTTAAAAATAGTAAGATTTCACCAGTTTCTCAACATACTCACCAACTGAGTATTATGACTAATTTTGTAATGAGTGTAATTTGTAATTCGAAATAATAAAAACCCAAACATACTTCCCGATAGGCTAATTATATTCACTAGATTTTAGTAGTTGCCTGATCCCTAGTTATTCACCCAATATGATGCGTTTGATTTAATTCAACTAGATCATGAGAGTTATTAGGCTCAAACGGAAATGGATACCAGGAAACAAGCAATCACTAGTTAAATGAATAAAATTGTCTGTAATTAAATGAATCAAAAGTTAAATATGAAAAGGTTTAACAGTATATTACCCATTTGTTGACAAACGTTCAACAAGGAGTGAAAATATAGTCACTAAACAACACATATAAGATTTAAACTATTTTGATAAACGATGTTAGAAAGATTATCAGCACCACTAAGTTTATACTTCATCATAAGTGAAAGATAAAATTGTTGCTATTATCCTCTCATTAAAGTGTTAGTCATCATTAACTGAAATATTTATTGAATGTATTCCATATTTGGACGGTTGTTTAGGACCAAGCTCATCAGTGGTACACCTCATTAGGTTCAGCTAAGAGTTAGTTGAGGTAACTACTGTTTGAAGTGGGTGGTTTTCAACTACTCATTCCAGCCAGTAGTATATAGTATACTGCACACTTTCTTGATGGCTATTATGGTATCGAGATCACACATTAGGACCAGAACATTTCGGTTTCCAATATCAAATCAATGGTGGGTTTTCACTTAGGACTTTGTAAATCTCAAACATAAAAATTAAATTTGACACTGGATAAATACTTTAATGGATGAAGTAATAACAGCATTCTGAAATACTGTTTTTAACAGTAAATTGCGCACCTTTAATAAACTTTTAACTGAACTATTATATTAATCCTGAAATAGTAAATATGAGGATTAAAACTATTTTTCTCCACCTTAATTTACACAACCGACCATCAAAGCAGTATTTTAAACGTACAGTAAAAGTAAATGTTACAACAAAATTTATAAAAATTACAAATTCACCTCCACCAAACTTCTGAACAGCTTTCTTGATAATACTCTGTGAACTTCATGAGCTTCTTCATCATCATAGTGCTTTCTGATATTTTTCTTAACCTTTTTCAGTGCAGCTAAGTGACGAATGTGTATACGAATAAACTCTGTTAATCCATACCTACCGCATGCATTCGTTTTGTTGTAGAACCATGAACTACCTCACTCATTGTTATACTTCGATCTAGTTTGTACAAAAGCTTTTGTAAGTAGGAGCCTCCAGATTTATTAAAAGTAACAAGACTTCATCCAACACTCATTGGGAACTAAAGAAAAATCTAGAAATAAATAAATTATTAAGCTAATTGTTCACAAAAGTATAAAATTTCAGGCAGAATATAAATGAAAGTTTCACACAATCTGGTATAGATAAATCATTGACATAGGCCATTTCCAAATGACATGGAATATGACCACAACAAACAGCCTGGATCTCAAGGTAAGAAGACTAACCATACAAAGGCAGGTAAAGTCAATAATATCTTTAGTAAAATAGCTTTTCTCCAGTCGGATATGATTACGATTATTCTGGATACTTTACAGCAGAGATAAGAAATTGCATACATCAAATACGGGTTAAAAGATTAACTCAGTACCATTAAAATGTCTCACAGAGGACAGATGATTCGAGACATTTTCACGTGAGCATGAAAAAAGTAAGCAGAAAGAAGCCAGTGCTCTTCCGTTAAGGAGAGAAACTTCCTTCACAATTAAACTTGAAGGTTTGTTGAGGAATTTCATTAGGTTTGTTAAGCACACACCAAAGATTCTATAGTTAGAAACAAGCAATGGTTTTACCAGAGAAACCACTAAATCCTTTGCAGACATATATTTTGGTATTTTCAAGATATATAAAGCGCTTCATGTCCAGAAAATGCCTGGATCAACCAAATTCAGTGGAGCGGGTGCCATATAGCCTTTTCAACAAAAACAAAAGTGTCTACTAAGAGTATAATCAGTCCCCAACTTCACTGATTATTTTAATTTCGGGTTAAGTGTACGATTATTTGCTTTGCTTACTTATTGATTTTAATTATCTAGGCTGATATCAGTCTTACAAACTTTGATTTCTTCTTTAGTGCCTGCCTTAATATTAGGCACTGTTTGCCTGCATCCATCCGCCAGTTTACATTTCCTACAATTTTCACTTGATATTATACATCAATTAATGATTTCGGTGATAGCCAAAACATTTACACATAAATATTATTTACTTTAAAAAAATTCTGAATTCAAGATTCCATGTACAACACTCCTTATAATGCACTTTTAACGTGTCAGGTAGCTGGCACTGTCATAGAAACTAAAAATCAAGACCAGGTAGCTTGGCAGCGAATATGAACACCGCCATAGCAGTACATTGTAATCATACACTGCTTTGATCGTGAATATCACATGTTGTATCGGTCCTCCTATAAGATTTTAGAATTAAAAGCCTCATCTGGGAATTACTTTTATGCAAAACTTTAGAATACACTTATAAAAATTAAAAGGTTATATTCCGCATTTCTACTTCAACTATTAAAAGACGTTTAATACACTTTCTGTGACTGAAACAAAACGAAAACGATTTCCCCAGTGGCAGAATTGTGAGTAGATACGAATATTACCGGAGAAATTGGTGTTCAGCCAATAAGTGCGAAAGTTCGGAAATTACTGAACATCGCGCTGTTTACTTACAATTTCAAGGTCAGTGCAAAAGTTGCAAACGAATTGTATTTCCTAAAGGCAAAAATCCTGCATATTTAAAGCCTGAACGTAACGGCTCATGACCGAAATTGTCGTCAGATAACACCGCTAGGGATAGGTGTGTCGATGAAATTACTTAATGTTTTCTTCTTTGTGTCTCCTTTCCTGGCGTGGATTTCATATTCAGATTTATTTGCTGAGGATAAAAGGCTCAGAGTCTGTGTTAATTCCTTTCCAGTAAATTCCTGTTCTTTTCAAAACCCTTCTTGGGTGAATCAGTTGAGGTTGTATACACTACTTCTTCTGGGAGTCGGTTCCAGGAGTTCATGACTAGGTGTGAGAACCAGTACTCCACAGAAATATGGTTTCTCTTTGGCTTTTGAACTCTCCGACTATTTTCTCTAGGGTGTTCCGACCTAGCGGGAAGGTGAAGCGAGAATAGGTTAGGTCCGTAGTCATTATTTAAGATTTTAAACATTTTAATTAAATCTCCTTTATACCAACGGAATGATGGGGAGAAGAGATTTAAACTGTCTGATCTTTCCTCGTATAATGAATCAGTTATGCCAATAATCATACGTGTTTTCTTCCTTCGAACTCTTTCTAGAATATTTGGGTCTCCTTTAAGACGAGGACTGGCCGCCTAGATACAGCTTTCTAGTCTTGACCTCATCAGAGATGTATATAAGTAGGAAAACTTCTCTGGTGATTCAAGTATAGGCTCTGTTAATCGCACATAAAGATCTGAAACTACGTACAACCACCGCGCGACAGTTGCTGTAGTTATTGAGTAGTACCTTACTATGACACCTAAATCCTGAAAATTCCGAACTGATAGGAGTTGTGTTCCCTCCAGTTCGTTGGGTCTGATGCTTGCTTGACCGATGCGTATGGTTGCACATTTCGCTACAGTGATCGAGAGTATCCATTCTCTCGACCACTCAAACAATTTGTTGAGGTCTTCAGTAATCACGAGCTTATCAATGTCGCCCTTCACCTCATCTGCGTATAGAACCACTGGGGAATCTCTGAGCACAGGTAACTAATTGATATACAAAATAAGTAGGAGATGTCTGAGTAACGTTCCTAGTGACACTCCAATACACACTGTTGCCCAAGAGGAGAATTTTGAGATGATCCTGCCCATCTGCTTCCTGTCTACGAGGAATTCCTCAATCCAATTTAGCAAGCTGCATTTCATACCAGGAATATCTATTTTCATGAGAAGCATTTAAGAGAAAGATACATCGACTGCATTTTACCAGATAAATTGGAAGAATTATCAGGATTCTGAGTAACATAAGTAATCGAACTTCTGCAAACAGTCTTGATGTGTCCAACTTTACCACATTTGTGACACTTAGCACCCCGAAAACGGCAAGTGCTTCGTAGATGTAACTTTCCACGGGAAAAACACGGTTTACTGTTTTTGATCTCTCGCTGCATTCTGTCACCTGTGGATGACAGTTTGGATTGCTTACCATGAACACTTGTATTTTCGACTTTGGAGAACATGACATCAGAAACTGACGTAGTTGGAGCAGAGTATTCACTGTTGACATCTTCATATGTAATACATAAATCTTTAGCAGTTTGAAAGGTACAAGAAGGAATCTGAATTAACTCTTTCTCTAACTTAGGAATATTGATTCCAGCAATTAGACGATCACGTAGTTGAGTATGCAGCTGATCTCCAAAGTTACACTTTGAAGCTTGTATTTGGAGTTGAAGAATAAAGTCTCTAATCTTCTGGTTGGGAGCACGAACCAGTTTGTTGAATTGAGCCCTCTCTCTCGTCTCAAAAGTAGTTATATGGAAGTGATCTATCAGAAGTTCACGGAGTTCATAATATGGCAGAAAAATTGGTTTATCTGGAAACGACAGAGTCTTTACTAGGCTATATGCATCTAGCCCAATAGCAGTAATAAAATGTGCTGGTATTTTGTCATCCCGAACATTCTTGGAAATGCACCACGCATCGAAGAATTCAAAATAATCAGCAATCTCCCGCGGAGAACCATTTAGAGGAAATTTTCCCAGGTTATTTAGTTCCATCGCGACGCCAATTTGTAGTAATTATTTGTAATCGTAGTATTAGTATTACGAGATGAGCGAATTACAAGAATCCAAACAAAACACAGAGAGGGCGGAATTCAGGAATTTGTATTTAGCGGAATTATAATGCAATTCATATAAGAAATATTAACAATCAACGGTAGGTATTTAAACAATACAGAGATAGAAATAGTCAATCACCACATACTCCTAAGAATGTCCTCAGGTATCGATGTATCTAGTGACCCAACGGGAAGTACTTGTTGTGAAAGATATTAGTGTGCAGCATACTGTATGACTGAGACGGGCTCAAATGAACTGCTATATGCACACTGAGTTAGTAATTTGTGTTGGGTTGTCCTTTACATCGCTTAGAATTATCTGGCGGCTAGGCAATATCAATTTCAGTATTCATGCGGAGGTCTTCTTTAGACAGCTGAAGATTTTTCTCTTAAAGATATAAGCTGCAAAATCTCCACTGAAGTTCACATTTATTTTCAGTTTTATTCGGCGATGAACTGCATTCTTCTCTTTTCGGTTTTGTTTTCACGTTATTGTCAACAAAACCTGCTGGGTAACTATTTTGAATTGAAATATTAATCTAGATCCTTAAAAAAATAACGATTGTACAGAACTAAATTATAAAATGCTTTCGCTCCCACCATCTACAAGCCTGTTCAGCTTCTTGTCAAAACGCTAACGCATGGGCTCTACAGATATTCGTGAGACATCTTACAAATCAGCTTGTCCCACGGCTTCACTTCTTTCTGAAATATAACTTATCTACCTCGCGATAATCGTTTTATTTACTCACCATCGTGTTATATTTTATCTTAATAATCTCAGCCTTTATTAAAGCTACAACTTACTCTTGGTTCATATTCGGTGCTTTCTTAAAGTCTGGTTTCTTTGGTTAAAAACGCAATAAAACCAATTTTTGAATAAAGCTATATTTCATCGAAAACGTCATGGTTTCCATGCTCAGAACAATATGGATAGCACAGATGTATACAGTCATTCCAAGGAGTTTCCATCTCCTTCTTGTAAATGGATTTCCAGTAACGTATTATCTATAAATGTATTTTATGACATTGCGGTTCCCAGGACGTTCTCCTCTTCCGGAAATAGCTTTTAATCACGTGGCGGCATGGCACTTACCCAAATATAGGCTGTTACTGAATGGTCATAACTATGAGCAGGAAACGGAGCGAAGTTCGGGTTGTCGCCTTACTTCGATGGTAACCTTAGTGAAGGGTTTATAATTCAACATTTATAAGAACCCGTTTTGATTGCTTGTACAATGATCGAAAAATTTAAACTTTTCAAAAAGTATTAATTTATGATACTTCACGATTGCAATTTAAAACATGACTGACCGTGCTTGTAAAACTGGCATGCGTTTCTTGTAAACTCACCCATTTATACG